GCACCTCCACCCTTGGAAGTGTCAGAAGAAGAACCCTTGCTTCCTCTCGCTCAGCCGTTGCCCCGTGAGGATGTAGACTAGTTGCCTTGGGACGCTGTACCCGTAGTAGTAGTGTTTTTCGTTGTTGTCCTCCGGTAGTGTATTCTTGTCGTTGTTTGTCCGTAGTGGTTGAGCTCGTTCGACCGTAGGTGAATGCTGTGTCGTGAATGTGAGCCTGAGTGTCTGTACGTTGTACCCGTATAAGATCATTGGAACACGCATTTTAATTATTTCGCTGTGTTTATTGCGTCCATTTACTTTAAAGTCTCGTTAGACGTGCTCTAAGTTTTCAAGGGCGATGTTAAGTGAGTTACAAGAGAAGTTGTCATTCAGATGCCAAGCAGATCAGTCGTGATTGGATAATATAGGACACTGTATTGACTAATTGTGGATGTCCCAGCAGAACACTTGAATCTCTTTAAAACAAATCCGTCGTTGGATTTGAATTCCTTGTCCCTTGTTGTGGAGGAAACCTTTGTTGTTTGAATTTTTCCCTTGCAATACTTCCCTTACTCTGTGGTCTATGACCCCACCGCCTTCAGGGCGTGTAAGTTGGTAATAGTTGCCTGGTTAAAAGCTTATGGTGTCGCGACGAAATCGAGGGCTCTCTGTGGAACAGCTGCCACATGTGACGCTGCTCGGCACACGTTGGTATCGAGGTTGTTGACCAAGTACCTATACCAAGTTACACCGCCATACCACTTTTGCTATAAATTTTCTCCTTGGAAATGTTTAGGTGTTCAAACGGGAAATCCATAATGGGTGATGCAAAGTGTTCTTTCAAGGTAAACAAGAGGTGGTTTTGGAGGAAGAAAGTATGACATAGTCTCATTCTACTTGAAAGCCGGATGTGGTCGAGTAAAGGAAAGAAAAAGAAGAGTAGTAAAGGAAGGTTAGCAGTGGATAGTCGGGAGTAATTGCAAAAGTTCGAGTGGACATCATGTCCCAAGCCCTGTTTTTAGTTGACCGCGCTGCGCTTGCTGGGTCATTTCGTTGCGTGCCCTGCAAACGCCGTCTGTGTCGGGATCTGTAGCATCCCGTTTTCACGTGGTCGCGGCATCGTGCAGTGCTCGCCATCCTTGTGCACTGTGCGCTTCTCCTTTTCCCGGCATCCGGTCGGCTCTCGACTCTCACGCCTCGTCCCTTGTACCGGACCCCCCATTTCCCCTTCCCTTTCTTTCTTCTTTTGGTGACACGACCGCCCGCACGCCTGCCTCGTTGAGCGGACCCCCTCTCCTCTCATTTATTTCCCCTCTGCCGCTCGCACAGAAAGCGCACCATGTCTCCGACCTTATCTCCACAGCATGCACCGTCTGTGTACCCTAGCCCTGCCGCATCCGCCTCCAGTGTGTTGCGCCCCATCCCCGTTCGCCTCTATAAATTGCCTTTGGTCCTTGCTCTTCTTCATCCCCATTTCTCTCACATTCATAGCAGAGCTACGAAATCCAGTCGACGTTGTGAAGCTAGGTTCGTCAGTCTGAGGTGATGGTGTAATCTGAGAAGAAGGAAGGATCCGGTTCGTCAAAGAAGTTCAAGTTCCCATTTGGTAGTCAATCTTAGGGTTCACGATGTTTTACTTTTTAGTCGACTGTTTCTGGATCTGTTGGTGCTATGCCATGTTTTGGATAATCATCTTCTTGTTGTTTCTCTATTGTCCTCGTCTATCTCGACTTCTGGAGTAAGTCTCGGTTGTACCAAGTTGCTCTTAACCATGTATCCCTAGATCCCCGTGTGGTTTAGTATTCGAAGTCGTGTAACCTTTCGTGTAGTCCTTGATCTACGTAATGTAATCGCGTCTCCCTCCGTTGGTTCTTGCTTCGAATCTCGGGACGAGATCCTTTTTAAGGGGGGTTGGTTGTAACACCCCTGGTGTTACGAGCTTGTTTAACAACGCGATTTAGGCCTAAGTAAAATTTTCGAATCGAGTTTTCTCGGGTTTTAATTTAAAACGTATTCGAGGCGATAAACGATTCCAGTGTGACGTAGTTTCGCGGATTCAAATAAACGTTCAGGTTAAATTTTAGTGCGTACAAATATTTAGGGATGCCGAACGACAATGCTAGCGGACGGTTTGTCCTGTTAACTTAAGCATGAAAAGCAACTTTTATAAATAGAATAAAATATATTAACAAATAGAACGATATATATATATATATATATATATATATATATATATATATATATATATATATATATATATATATATATATATATATATATATATATATATATATATATATATATATAGCTCGTGCTATTGGAGTGGTATAGGAGAGCTTTGATCAAAAGCATATGCGGCCAGACGTTTCACACAACAGCACGTATTATATTTTTCTAATCCTCCTTGGCTCCAAGCACTTTGAGAAGCCGGTCGACAGGAGCAAACAAATTGCGAGATTTGTTTTAACCTTGCAGCTTTCCATTGTTTTAGAAAATCGTGATGTGCGTGGCAGAGGTAGCCATGTGCGTACAGACATTTGAATTCATGCACCACGTCCTGGTAGCGTAGACCTCTAGCTTCAGCAATTATCTAAATTTTTCCTGTCCCTTCACGTCTGCGCGTTTCCGGCCACGTTATGCAGGCCGGCCATCCTAGCTGCTGCTGCCGTCTCCTACCCTTGTTTTTTTTAAAAGCCAAGCCGCACGTGGTCCTACTCCCTGCTCAGCCAGCGCACACCGTCCTTGCCTCTGCCATACCCACGTCCTGCTGCTCCCTCTCCTGCACTCATTCTGCAGTTGATTAATTACATCTTTGCATTGCATCTCATGCATGTCATATAGGTACGATGATGGATCAGCTGTCCGATCGAAGGATGATTGGGAATCCGAAGATGGTGTATTGATATTCTCTCCAGGAGATGATGCGAGGGGTTTTCTATTCGGATGATCTGAAGATGTAGCTACTAACTTTTTAATATATCTTACCCAGGCAAACCCCGGTGCATAACCTCTACTTTTCTGTAGTTTAAATTATATTTATGTATTAAGTGTTAAGAAGTTGAATGAAACCCACTTGCATATATATCTCTATCCTATGAGTCTTACTAGTATGACAGGATCGTGTATAATGCTATGCTACAGGACTCCGGTAGAAGTCGAGTGATTGTCTGTCACTCGCGAGATATAGGAAATATGTTATTATACGATTATCACTTGGAATATATAAAATGGTGGAAAGGAAAATGGTGACCAGGCAGGGATATGGTTTGGGTATTGGTGGGTGTAAGAGGTTGTGTCGCCGTGGATACGGGCATAGCTTGGTTACACTGCTTTCCCTGTCTGGTCGATTAAGGACCGATCGTTGCATATGACTCTAGGCAGGTCACAGACTTATTATCCCGAGCACATACTTGTGTATGGGCGCTTGGAAGACTTGTTTCTCTCTTGTCGCGGATCCGGCTCTTTCCGGACCGACTGTTAGGGTTTTATTTTGGTGGAGGAGGTCATTGCACCGCACTGAGTCCGGGACTCAGGGGCGGGGGCTTGGAGTCCCAGTTTGGACGGGGACCTAGACACCCGGGACAGGAGAGCGATGGGTTGGTCCTGCTTGTGCCTGGGGTACAAGCGGGGCGTGTGTTTTCGGGGTACCCAGCTGGGGGCATTGATTCGCGAATCGCCAGGCGATCCGGTACGGCTTGTCTACGGTTTAGCATCGTAATAAGAAGTGAAGATGATAGATGGAAGATGGAACAAAGGAAATCTGATTGCTTACCACCTGCTTGAAAGTAGCATATGTGCTTACATAGAATGGTTAATTAATGAACCAATGCGGCTATGAGTAAAAATTCAATATAAGGATGCACGCTTAGTAATACTTCCTGCAAATGCAACCCACAAGCCAAATAGCCTTGCATATCCTTGGAGTCTTTTCTTTTCTCCTGTCGGGTAAGTCTTGCTGAGTACAATTGAGTACTCAGGGTTTTATTCCCCCTGTTGCAGGTGACAGGTGGAGGCTAAAGCTGACCTTTGTGTGTGGATTCCTCCTGGTGGGCTCAGCGAGGATTCCTTTACGCTGCGATCGTAGTTGTTATTTATAACTCTCACCAGATGCTTTTATAAATGAAAGTTTCATAATCTGTTATCGTAGTTTATTTATCAATACTTTATCATGTCATGATTAGATATTCATTTCCGCTGTAATTCTGATCACATGTTTATATTCCGCTGTATAATTAAATTGTTCATAACTCTGATAATATGATTTCATTCCGCTGTTATACAATAACTATTATACTCTGATGTTGTACTAAAAGTGATGTAAGAAATGGTTAAGAATGATGTAAGCTTTATTCTCTCATTTGTGATCCTGGTGGTAAAAATGTGGATTTTCGGGTTCTTCCCTGGGGTGTGCCCGACGGAACCAAGTAATTTAGTGTTCTCCCTCGAGTGCTTAGTGTCTAATGGAAGACGAGCACTCCTGTGAGGCATTAGATTAGGCGGTTCTGCCACAGTTGGCCGTCCATGGCAGGCGCGGAGATCGCGGTGGGGAAGTCGCGATGGCGGCCGCGGGAAGTCGCGATGGCGTCGGGTCGCTCGATAGGTTAGGGCTCCTCCAAATGTCGGTCTCAAGTCTGTACGTACCGTGCAAAATGACAGAAGGGCAAAAGGGTTCATTCTGGTGCCAAATACATGTATACGTAGTAGAAAAGAAAGAAAATACCCATAATGTCAAGGAAATCAAGAACGTTTGGAGGGTTATTTTTACGAAGTCGACGATGGTGTCCCAAAACTGCGAAGCGCGACGATTAGAGTCCCAAATATGCAATTTTCTCAGGTTTGCATCATCTAGTGCATAATGCATAAAAAGGTTGAAAAAATCCATCTCGTTCAAGTCAGGTATTTGCATAGGGCTATGGCAACCTAGATACTTAGCTGCATCGGCAAATCGAGTTGTGACCAGGACCTTACTCCTTGTATCTCCAGCCTTCAATGGAGAACATAGCTGATCCAATTTGTATTCATCATTCACATCCTTCCCAGTCCATACATAGAGCGGGAGCTCTCTGCACTGGGTGCACCCTATTCACATCCTTCCCCGTCCATACATCATCCAAGACCAGCAGGAACCTTTTGCCTCTCAGTGCTGCCTCTAACTTCATGTGTAGAGTGTCAAGATTACTGAACTCATGGCATGGCTCCCCTAAAGCTGCCTCAAGCATCTGACGATAAATTCCATGCACACTGAAAATCTGATTAACCTGAATCCACATGATAGGTTTAAAATAGTTCTCTGTTCGTTCAAAGGTACAAACATGTTGTGCTAGTGTTGTCTTCCCAGAACCAGCAATACCGTAGATACCAATCACTGAATAACACTTGCTGTTACTGGAGGCTGGTTCGCAAACACTTTCATGGAGCATCGTTCTTATGTCATCACGTTCCTTGTCTCTACCAATTATGAAACCTGTAACAGATGAAGTAGTGGTAATCCTGGTCGCGCTGTTTGCAGGATCTGATATGTCATTGCTACTACTACCACTAGTAATGGTGCTAGCCAGCGGTGACAAAAGCTGAGACCCTTCTTCAATTATGTTTTCCAACTTCTTTAGAGCATTTTTTAGTTTTCTGTTTTTCCCAGAGGTGATTTGCTTCACACTGTTTATAGTTATGGCTGACTTGGTTCCCGATTGAGATATGACCTGCATGAAACGATTGAAATGTTACACACTGACACTTAATTTTTAGGCGACATTTGGATGCTGTGGTATTGACAAACTAGAATGCGAAAAAAGTAATGCAACAGTTGCTAGGTGTATCATCTGATTATTCTTGCCTTAGTTTCATCTTTTTTTCCTGAACAGCGATTATTCTAACTGTTAGATTTTCAGTTTCAGAGAGTTTTGATTATCACATCTGGAATTGCAATTCTACTATAGCTATTAGCTAGGTGGTCTTGTAATCTGCTTCTGGAGGCGGTGATAGTCGGCGACGTCAAGGATGTCCTTGGCGTCGTAGAAGGCGGACTTGAGCCTCCTCGCCCACTGCTCCACGCGACCCCGCTGCCCGGGAGGGATCCTTTCGGCCTGTTGCCGCATCAGCTCCAGCTGCGGGAGAAGACGCTCCTCCAGATCGCGCAGCTTCTCCGACTCGTCGAAGCCGAGAAGGGCAAAGCCATGGTTGAGGAGCCTGGTGGTGATGGGTGACGCGATCCACCCCAGCGTGGAGATGGGAGATGGCCCACCCGACTGCGGCAACCTCCGCCATGGACGCAAGCAAGCAAAGGAAGCAGGAAGGAGACCCAGAGTATTTTGTGCGCGTCTGTGTTCTTGCTCAGTTCAGCTCTGTGGAAATTCTAGTTCGTGGTGGCAGTTCTAGGATTCTAGCCACACATCGTGGAGTTCTTCCACATAGGATGAAATTGGATATGGTTTGCAGCAACATGACGACTAGAAAATTCGTTAGTCGTCGTCGTGGTCGTCTCTAACATCTTTCCTTGATGTTGCTGCTGAGTTTCACTTTCATTGATACTGATAGCAATGCTGGTTTCATCAATGTAGACGAGGGTGGAGAGCTAGATTTATCTTTTCTTGATGAAAAATGCGTGCTCATACATACCTGAATATATTGACTTTCTTAAAAGCACCATTCAGAAAAAAGAAGGTACATTCTCATCCTAGCTACACGCAAATATCTGGCATTATAATATTATTTCGAATTGAAGTAATTATATGCCAACAAATTCCATGGACTTGCAATAAAATACTCCCTCCGTTCTTTTTGAACGAAGTTGAAACCAACTACTGTAAGCCTGTTCCTAGCACAACAGCACTGTCCGAAACGACACACATACAAGATCGGAGTACCTAGCAATAGCAAGTTAATGTTGCTCCCTCGTTATGACATCATAATATGCATTTTTGTTGGTGTTATTTTTTTTTCTGCATCAATGCAACTCTTATCGTATCAGATAGATTACCGACTAAATATGAGTAGTAATCTGAAAAAAATGTGGAATTGCACAAGCAGCTAATTCCTTGTGGTCGTATCAGAGAGATTACCCACTAAATATCAGTCTGGTACTCTGGTGTGTAAGAGCAAGTATCTGCTCACATATTGGATCTGCTAGCATACTGATGGTCACTACGTTTAAAAGCAACTATTGATTCTTTTACCCAACAGCAATTCTCAGTTTGGAACATGCGAAAATTTTCCTGGTTATTTTGTATGAGAACTCAACTATCCATGTGAGTTCCAAACGGCAACCCACGTTGTAAACGAAAAAAACAGACGAGAGATATTCGCACATCCATTCATTGGGAGCGTGTGCAGTGTCAGTCTTCTTGTCTCTGAAAATTCTCCACCGCACAACACAATTCTCTGTTAACTTTGATAGAAACAAATCAATATATATAAATATTTATACATCTTTCAAGATAATTGCAGTATTCCAGAAGATGTCCAAACAAAGCATGGCGCCTATGATAGCACAGATTGCACTACTACTGGCAAAGGCAAGCTTGTACAACTTTCCCACCCATGTCGAGCTGGTCGAGAGGATCCATGCGCCAGAGAGGTCAGCAATTGAATAATTTGTATTAGGAAAATTTTTTGGTATGGACATGAGCAATCTTTTGCCAGTTTGGATCTCCAGCCGTTTGACAGCTCTTCACGAATTACTCATCACAGTCTTCGAGTGTAAAAGACCGTAGAGATACTGGCAGAGTTGGAAGTGACCGGACATTTGGGCACCGTCGCAAAGACAAATACTCCAGGTGCGGCAGGGCCCCCAAATTCTGGGGCAAGCTGTTCCACTTGCACGACGTGAAGCCAAGGGATGATAGAGAAGGAAACTGTTGCAGGATTTCTTCTTCTCTCAACTCATCCGATTGCTCAATAGAAAGAGACCGGAGGGATGTGAAGCCTTCTCTTGACAGCAGTTGTGGCAGGACGGGTATGCCATCGACAGTGATCCAGTCAAGACATTGCACCTTTTCGGCCTCTTCAAGGGTCATATTAAGGTTGGGACACTTCACAATGTAGAGGGATTTTAGGTTGCTGAGATAATTTAGGCCTTGCAAACAAGTAAATTGGATACATTCCATGATGCTGAGATGCTGAAGCATAGATAGAGACTTCATGACCTCATAAGGGATTGCTCTGAAAAAGGGCAGACAAGATATGGACAACTCATTTAGGGATGTAGAGCCTCTCCACAAGTTATGTAGGACAGTGTCAGTGATGGCACAGCATGAGACATCGAAGGAAGTTAAAGATGCAGGAAACAGAATTTGGGAGCAATCTTCCTCCGTTATCTGGCCTCGAATAAGCTTAGGTGGAAAAATATCACAGCCAAAAATGCTGCGAACGATCGCGTCAAATCTTTCAGGTTGTTCTTGAGCGAACCTATGTATCTCCTCCGGATGTACTGCAATATGGCTCAATTTGAGACACTCGTTCGTTGAAGAGTGACCTAATCAGCTCCACGTCTTCCATAGATATCATAACTAGGGCCTCACACACCATAATGCCTAGGTCCTTCAGGCTATCTGGAAGTCTTGGCAACTTCTTTAACTTTGGAAGATAATCAAGCCTTAAGCTCGTAAAGGTGAATGAGAAGCTCATCGATATCAGGGAGAGCTTCAAGGTTAACACAGTCCTCGAGTTTCAGAAACCCTAGGCTACTAAAATTTTGTGCCAACCAGCTTGGGCACTTCCGTCTGCTGTAGCCATATATTACAAGTTTCCCGAGCTGCGATGGTGGGCAGAGGCCCTCAATTATCTCCGTTTCGAGGTCTGCTTGTTGCACTGAACCAGACCATGCAAGTGACAATGTTTTCAGGGACCTTTTGTCAGATAGCTTGGCTTCTAGCGCTTTCTCCTTGCTTTCCACATTTTCAAGGCCACTGATTCTTAGCCTGCCACGAAGGTCATTTAGGCACTCCAGCTGCTTCAACTCATACCCTTTCTTCTTCCTCACTCTGAAGTCACTTAATTTTTGAAGTGATTTCATCCCTCCAACCCCAGGAAAACCTGTAGTACAAGAATCATGACATCCAGAGGCTTTAAGATGTCTCAAGCTAATCAGGTTGCTCATGTTCTGCACACTGGAGAATTCTAAAATACCTTTATCACAATCACCAAGCTTTAAGATTTGCAAATGATACAGTTTACCAAAGTTTCTTGGCAAATGTATCTCACTGGACCTGTCAATGGGGACATCAATGGTGAGACAACGTAGGTGTTTTAAGTCAGAAATACAGCCAGGGATCGTTACTATGTTGCCTTGTAGATGCACCTGTACCACACGCAACTTCTTCAACTTCTTCAGCATGTCCTCAAGTTCTTCTGTGGTTATCGCTGGCCATATAATGAATTAATGATTAGTGTGCGTAAATTCTTTAGTTTGCAACTATGCTTGGTAAACTCCATTAGTTCATTCAACCTGATAAAAAGATGGCGGGCATCAGGAGGGTATTGTTCCACCTCACCACCATCAACTCGAGCACAATCGTTTCCAGCAGCCATGGTGGCCAATTCATGCAGAAGATCATGTGTAGTAACTGTCTCACTGCTGATATGTAAGTATTTTCCTGTTTGCAGAAATGAGCATGACACCAGTTCATCAAAGTATCCATGCGCTATATATTCCATTTGCGCAATGGTACCTGTAGTTTTTATAAAGCCTTCTGTCATCCACAAATCAACTAACTCAGCACGTTCAAACTGGTATCCTTGGGGAAATATGCTACAATATGCGAATCATCGCTGAACATGCCCATCAAGGTATTGATAGCTCCACCATAGAGCTCCCATGGTATCTGTCCAGACATGACGATCTTCAAGGCTTCTCCAACTGGTAGCATTTAATCGTTTGCGTAGTCGTGCTCCTACTACTCTTGCTGCTAATGGTGATCTCTTCAATTGTTTCGCAATCCGTCCTCCAATAATCTTAAAAGTTTCTGATTCTTGGTCACCAAGGTTTGCATCATGTAGCGCATAATGCATAAAAAGGTAGAAGAAATCTATCTCGCTCAAGTCAGGTATTTCCATAGGGCTATGACAACCTAGGTACTTAGCTGCATCAGCAAACCGAGTCGTGAGCAGGACCTTACTCCCTGCATCCCCAACCCCAAGTGGAGAGAGTAGCTGATCCAATTTGTATTCATCTTTGTCATCCTTCGCAGTCCATACATCAACCAAGACCAACAGGAACCTTTTGCCTCTCAGTGCTGCCTCTAACTTCATCTGTAGGGTGTCAAGATTACTGAAGTCACGGCATGGCTCCTGTAAAGCTGCCTCAAGCATCTCACGATAAATCCCATGCACATTGAAATTCTGATTAACCTGAACCCACATGATAGGCTTAAAATAGTTCTCTGTCCCTTCAAAGGTACGGACATGTTGTGCTAGTGTTGTCTTCCCAGAACCGGCAATACCATAGATACCAATCACTGAGTAACACTTGGTGTTACTAGAGGTTGGTTTGCGGAGCATCCTTATTATTTCAGCACGTTCCTTGTCTCTGCCAATTATGAAATCTGTAACAGCTGAAGTAGTGGTAATCCTGGTTGCGCTGTTTGCAGGATCTGATATGTTATTGCCACTGCTACCACTAGTAATGGTGCTATCCAGTTCTGTCAAAAGCTGAGACCCTTGTTTAACTATATCTTCCAACTTCTTTAGAGCCTTCTTCAGTTTTCTGTTTCTGTTTTTCCCAGAGGTGATTTGTTTCACACTGACTTGGCTCCCGATTGAGATATAACCTGCATGGCAAGATTCCAGTGACGGTTTCATCGATGTATGGAGTAAGCCACTAGGCAGGGCCTGATAGGCAATAGCACACTTGCTTCTCCTTTTATTTTCCTTTTTTCTTTGGCGAATTAGACTAGATTTTTCTTTTCTTGATGAAATATGTGTTCTCAAATCTCAATTGTCATAATGCCTGAATATTTGGCTTTCTTATAAGCAGAGAATGTTCTCCGTTCTGAAAATGAAATGCATTTGCATTCTCAACCTAGCTACGAGCAAATATTTGGTATTACAATGCTATTTTGAATTGAAGTTAGTATTTGAATCCCAACTGCATTATAGTCACCAAACAAAAAAAAATACTGACATCCACTTCGGAACACAGAAAAAATATAGAAATTGCATAGGAATATAGTTGCAAAATCGAAGATTGAAAAGCATAGAAATTTGAAAGAAATAATCATTTAAATGGATCATAAGAGAGACATTGGATGTTTATCGATAGGTTCGAGTGG